TTGCTTGTGTGCTTATTGTTATTGCAACATATAGGTTGCTCACCTAGTTCCATATCTAGACAACCTACTTTGATGCAAAGTTTAATTTGGTAAACAAAAGTTATAAATTGTTAGTTGCCCATTCAGCCCCCCCCCTCTAGTCAACTATATCGATCCTTTCAACAGCAACCCGTGCAACCTGGGAGCTGACCCACTTGGTTACTTTGCCGTCTGTGGCAGACGAAAAAGGTTGGGGGGGTTGTCGTCTATGGCAGACGACAAAGGCTGGGGGGTTTGCCGTCTGTGGCAGATGACAAAGGCTGGGGAGGGCATGACGCGTGGCTGATGTCAGATAGCAGATAGCAAATGGGAGGGCATGTTTACTGTCTGCTAGTAGACAGCAAAGCCTCCCGTTAGCCACCTAACGTGGCTAACGTGGCTAACGTCAGTTGTTTGTCGTCCACCTTCTTTGCCGTCTGCCACCGATGACAAACGGGTCTTTGTCGTCCGCTGGCAAAAAGTAGAGGGCAAATCGGCTGTTTACCGTTACTTACAGTGTGGGGCATGTTTTCCGTCTGCGGCTGATGGCAAAGACCTTTGCCGTGGCAGACGGCAAATCAGTTGATTCCTGTAGTGATAAACTCACTCCATTTGGCATGTCTCTCATTCAATTTAGTTTGACCCTTAAGGTACTTAAGTATTTCATGATCCGTATGGATGAAAAATTCGCGAGGGCGAAGGTAATGCTCCCACACACGCAAAACTGACACTAAGGCATATAGCTCCTTGTCATAAATGGGATAGTTAAGTTGTGCTCCGGATAGTTTCCACTAAAATAAGCAATAGGGCGCTTCTCTTGCATCAACACACCTCCTATGCCATTACCACTAGCATCGCAATGAACTTCAAAAGTTTTATCAAAGTTGGGCAAGGCAAGCAAAGGAGCATGTGTAAGCAAATTCTTAAGCTCATGAAATGCGGTATCTTGGGATGGTCCCCAAACAAATGGTGCATTTTTCTTACTCAAGTCATGAAAAGGTGAGGCAATCATGCTAAAGTCCTTGAGAATCTACGATAGAAATCGGCTAAGCCAATGAAGCTACACACTTGTTGCAAGTTGGTTGGTTGTGGCCAAGTTTTAATGGCATCAATATTAGCTTCATCTACATGACCACCCTTAGAAGACACAACAAAGCCTAAGAAAACAAGCTTGTCAGCACCAAATTTGCATTTCTCCCTATTAGCATAAAGGCGCTCTTTTCTAAGAGTTTGCAAAATGGTTCTAACATGGGTGACATGATCTTCTAGAGACTCGCTAAATACAAGTATATCATCAAAGTAGACCACAACAAAATTTCCAATGTAGGGGCGAAGGACATAATGCATCACACGCATAGAAGTGCAGGGTGTTTCGGATAAGCCCATAGGCATGACCAACCATTCATACAAGCCAAATTTGGTTTGAAAGCGGCTTTCCATTCATCACCTTCTTGGATGCGTATTTGATAGTAGCCACTTTTAAGATCAATTTTAGAGAAAATTGTGGCTCCGCTAAGTTCATCTAGCATATCATCAAGGCGTGGAATGGGGTATCTATAACAAACAGTGATAGCATTGATGGGACGGCAGTCGGAACACATGTGAAAACTACCATCTTTCTTAGGCACAAGAATGATCGGAATGGCACAAGGGCTTAAGCTTTCACGTACATGACCATTGTCAATGAGGTGTTGTACTTGCCTTTGGATTTGTTTTGTCTCGTCCGGGTCGACGCGGTACGGTGCCTTGATTGGTAGGGGTGCACCGGGTATATGAGGTCGATGCGGTGTTCGATGCTTCGAAGTGGAGGTACTCCCCAAGGTAGCTCATCGGGGAAAACGTCCTTGTATTCCTGCAACAAACGAGACGACACTAAAGGTAGATGGTGAGAATTGTTAGTCTATGCCGCCTCGTCCTTGCACACGAGGACATAGTGTATGACACGAGATGGCTCCTCACACACTTCTCTCATCTCTCGTTTGGTGGCTAAGAGAACTAGGTTTTTCTTGTCGATCATCGTGGAGGCACTCATTTTTGGCTTGTGGCACCCACTCTCTTTTGTGTGGCTCACTCTCTCACTATTCTCTCCACGATGGGTAGATGCTTGCTTGTCGGCGATCACTTGGCTAGGTGACAAGTGTCGTAGCACATATTCCTTTCCTTTCATCTTGAAGCTATATTGATTGGTTCTTCCATTGTGGATGACACCGTGGTCAAATTGCCAAGGTCGTCCAAGTAGGAGGTGGCAAACGGATATGAGAACCGCATCACACTCCAAGGTGTCTTCATAGGCGCCGAACTTGAAGGATACTTGCACGGTATGTTCTACTTGAATAGTGCCAGAGTCGCTAAGCCATTGGGCCTTCTAGGGGCGAGGATGCTTCATCTTGACCAATTGTAGCTTAGAACATAGCTCTTCACTTGCCTCATAACCAAAAGATAATATCATGTTGGTTATTTTGATTCGCATCAGGATTTGTCCTTGTATGTTTATTTTATTGTGAATCGCCGCACATGGCAACACATGGGCATATGAATTGCATGCCCAACAACGAACATCATTTTTTTGTTTCATGATAATGTACGAGATTCATCTGTATGCTACAACACGACAATGCCTTAGGAGACATCGGATCTTCCTTCTTAGCTCGGGGGGAGTCACGGGTGGCGCACATCTACTCTCCATTTGATGGCGGTGGCGGATTGACATGAACACCGGGGGGAGGGGGAAGGGGGTATCAGGGCATGGAGCGAGGCAATTGGCGGGGGACTTCTTGGTGGTTCATGGGGAAGTACACTGTGAAAGAGAGTGGCTCAATGGCAAAGGTGTGAAATGTTCATTATCTAGTTTTAGAGGACCAGCAATAAATGTCCAGCTACGGGAGACCGAGCGGGCAGAAAAAATGGTAGGGTGTATCGTGGGATGGGGTTTCTATGTTGAGACCGCGTGTTGGAGATAGCATTGCGGATAGTCTGGACAACCATATTTCTTTCCCGCATATGGGATGGATTTGGGGGAGGCCGGACTGTCCAGGCGGTTGAATTTTAGGAGACTGTTGGGCGCCCGTTTGATGGAGGCCGGACTGTCCAGTTTTAGGAGTCTGCCGAACCCTCCCAGACATATGAAGCAGAAATGAACTTAGACCTTGAAAATGATCTTAAACATTTATTTGGTTCATTTATGTGTCCTACATTCGTCACGTTAAACCGGACTGAAATAAGGACAACGGTCCAATTTTATTTTATTTTTAAAACATTCATCGGCTGACTCCACCGCACCACGGCGCAACCCGACGCGACGCAGCGCACCCCGACGCAGCGCGCCGCAACCCGATGCGACGCAGCGCACCACAGCGCGAGGCGACGCAGCCGCGCGCCATAGTTCTGGGTCCCACGGATAGAATCACCGGTATATATATTATTTCTCCCTTCGTCCTCAAAATTCCGCTTCAATCCCCAATCCCCCGGAGCAGTCCAGTCTCCTCCCTCCCCTTGGCGCAGCGGATCAGCCAGCCAGCCAGCCAGCAACGGCGCCAGAGCGATGGGGCCCCCCACCCGCAGCGAGTTCGGCTTCTCCGTCGCCGGCAGGCGCAAGCGCTCGCCGGAGTTCCCCTGCGTGTCGCGCTTCCGGCAGCGGCGGCTCATCTCCTTCCTCGGGCACCACAACTTCTACCGCACCGTGGATGTGTAAGCACGCAGTCGTGTCTCCCCCTCCCCCCTTCAAACCTGCCTCTGCGAATGCATCTCTTGATTCGGGCAAACGCACGCGCGCGCGCAGGTTGGTGACCCAGACGGACGTGTTCCTGTGCCTGAAGCACCTGGCCGAGCTGGTGGACGCGGGCTCCTGGGACAAGGCACTCGACTACCTCTCCCGCTTCCTGCCGTCCGACGGCCCGCTCGGCGTCCACGGCCGCGCCCTCTTCCACTACCTCCGCGTGCACAAGGCCATCGACGACGTGCTCGCCGGAGCCCCGGAGGCCCGCTCCGTCACCACCGCCCTCGACCAGTGCATCATCCGCCACCCCACCAAGAGCCACGCCCTCACCAGGCTCCGCGCCATCTTCTCCTCCCTCCTCTGCTCCAAGCGATACAGGTAAAATCCAACATTGCTAGCTATCGCTGCAAGCCCGCAATCGATTCGATAGATAAAATGAGCATTGGTCCGTCAAATGGGATCTTGATTTCGTTGCGTTGCGTAGGGCTGTCCTGGACATAGGGCGCGTGAGGCACAAGGCTAAACTGACTATCGTCGACTTGGTTTGTAAGACTCCAGAGTTGAAAGACCACATGCGACACGCCCGCGGCCCAATGGAACCCCAGAACGTGCTTCCCATTGGCTTCGGCTACGCCTGGTACGCCTACCGGTCCATTTGATGCAATCATGTGACTCTAAAAACTGGCTCTGTTTGATCACCTCTCATTCTCATATATATGCTGCAATTAATCTTTACTACTTTCCGTCCGAGGCGCCACGTGAAGAAACGAGACGGCCGGGTCTCGGCGTCTGTGCTTGGCAGGCTTTATCTTGAGAGAAGAAGAAGAAGATGTATGTACACACAGCACAGACTATCTTGTCATGAAACTGAGATGCTCTTCAATTCTCTCTTCTTGCTGGCTCTTGATGGTACTCTGACAGACTAATGGGATATGTTGCTGCGTGTTCCTTTCTTTGTGCAGGCTGCCTTCTTTGACTTCAGACGATCACTCCCAGGGGTTAACTCGTGGTACGATACCATCATACAAATTATGTTATGGTTGTTTAGTAATTATGTCCCCAAAGTTGTATGCTACATGTGAACTCCTTGGTAATTAGTTTGTTGCTTTTCTCTTCCTGAATGGCAGAGTCATAAATTAAGGCCAAGGAATGGCTTGTGGATCTTGTTGGTAGGTAAACCTTCTCATTTATGAGTCTGTAACTCCATAACACAACAACTGATGAACTTATGTGATCTAATTCAGAGATAAGTTTGGAAACCGGCAAGATGAGTGAAGCGGAACTGACTCAATCTGCCTCTAACAAAGGTAACTTCACACCCTCTCCGTCCACCAAACATTTAGCTAAGTTATAGTCTCACTTGAAGAAAGCCTTCAGTTTTGTCCACCAAAACACTTCAGTTTATTGTCATTGTCTCCACTTTCTATTTGGAGTATTTTCTGGCAGTAATAAATTTGTGAATCCTTGCTGCATTGTTGGTCACATGTGCACAACCATGCCTCTGTAGCTTACATGTCCACACAATTAGAATGCGATAACTCATGCAACGACGATGCTTGCTTGCATCTCTCATTAACTTTGTTACTACAGTGCCCCGAGTTATCTCTGTTGCAAACTTGCAATAGGTTCTTTGCTCTTACGACATTGATTTCGTGGCCTGCTATGGACCTGTAATACATCCTGATGCTACATTCTCCGGCAGCATAATTGGTTCGGCTGCCTAGATGCTACCGCTTCTAACTGCTGAACTCATGGCAGGTGGTCCGGTTACTCCAGTCTCACGGACTAATCTTGCTACCTTCAAAATGGTTACTAATCGTAGTAAGTTTACTGAACATCCAAGCCAGTACCATTAGTCCGTGCAATTAATCCATGACATTGTTCCCTGTTAAAGGCCACAAAATGTACAATGGCTATATGCCCTTGTGACATTTAATCTGTGTGCCCTGTAATTTCTTTATATGCCCTTATGATGTTTACTTTATTGTCCATGTCATACTGTAAATGTGCATTTGTTCATTTGTTGTCAATAATCTTATCTTTTTTCCAATGGCAGCATTATTCCGCAAGGCAAAAGAATGGATGGTATATTTTACAGGTTAAACTAGACTCTGCTCTGCATGTTTTCATTTGCTTGTATACTTGTTCATTTATGCATGAACCATTGTGCTCAACTTACCGTTGATCTCTAGCTTGGTTATGCGATAGCAACTGATGGAACTTACGTGATCTTCAGAGGAATATTTGAAAGCTTGGCCAGACGCGAGTCAAGATGATCTACCTCAACTTTTCTGCAAGGATGGTAACTCTTTCACCCACCAGACATGTATTTCTTTAATGACCCCTTGTTTGGTCAATTGTCATTATCTCCCTTTTTTCCCATATAAATACTGGTGTCCCTTTTGGGACACTCCATTTGCCTCACTTATCACATTTCATTTTCACAACACTATAAGGCAATTATCTTCATAATAGAATTAGCTAATATTACTAGCCTTAATTTGGTACCACATATGTTTTTTCTACAGTCAGTTTATTGCACTTATCACACCGACTTTGTTGATTTTACTTTTGAAGTGCTGCACTAGATTAATACTTAGGGGACTCTTGTGCACATTGTTCTTACTGCACTGACTTGCTTTTGAAGTGATACACAGCCATTGTTTAAATTCGTCAGCATCATTATGGTCGGATCCTATGCACATTGTTCTTACTGCACCAACTTGCTTTTGAAGTGCTCTACTGTTCTTAGCATGTCCCAGTGATGTGACCTGTGCATAAGAAGTATATCAACATGATAAATTCTCTTCCACTTTTATTATTCGATTCATGTGCACATCGTTTGAGCTATTTGCAAAAGTTATTTATTATCTATAGAAGATCTATGGTGGACATATGTTTCCTTGGTTTTTCATTTCGTCATTCTTTTGTATCTGATGTGTGCATGATAATTCGGTCTTGTCAGGATTGATGTTGTTCTTTGCACTTCTTCCCGCTGCCATTAATAACCACCAAACCTCTTTGCAGGTGATCCTGATGGCACAGTATCCCATTATTCCCATTCAGTGCCTGGTAGCTTGACTAGTCTTGCTGAAAATTCAGCGTTTGCATCAGTCAAAAAGCCAGGTAAATTAGTTGCATATTCTCAAATCTCCATACCAGGCTAACCCCATCTGCAAAATTTATCGTAGAATTGGTTGTTAAAAAATACCAAATTTATTGGTTGACAGGTTATTTATATCGTGATTAACGGATTTTGAGTTCCCATTCTTAAATACTTGGAAACTACTCCCTCTATATTTCTTTACAGAGCGAGTAGAAGTTTAACTTGCATTCTGTATGAAAAGACATTAAATGGAGAACACATCCTAGCAAAACATAGGTGATAATACTAGTTGTATGCATCTTTTGATAAATTTTGAGACCATCTAAAATCGTTATATTTACGTGCATTTAAGAAGAGCAGGCAATGCTTATGTACCGGACACTACTAATACTTGTTGGATTGCAGACTTCGCAGATTGAAACCGGAACTGAAGATCAGCAAGCAAAACGTGAAGATCAGCAAGCAACGTGAGTGTCTAATTGAGTGGTAGCATCGATTGTACCACCTGCTGCTTTTGCCTTTGCGAAGACGGTCAATTAGCTACCTACTGGTGCTACTTGACGTTAAGCTACTTGTTAGGGGCTTGCAAGTCTTGTGTATCTTCTATTGTTATGTTATCCTGCAACTCTTTCTCCTAGTTCCTGCTTCCTACTATCATTAGGGCAAGTGAACCAGATCTATGTGTATGTAAGCTGCAGTCTGAATGTGTGAGAACTGAAAAAAAATTCGAAATCTGGATCTTCTTATTCTGTGCAAAGTGTGAGTGCAATTTCTTAAAATTTCTGACCTTGCATGTCAAGTTGGTGGATCATGAAAACTTTCTGAAAAAGAATATGTTCATTTTAGGGCATCTCTGGTACATCCCTCAGAAGTTATATTTGAGGGCAAAATTTCCATTTTGTGGGATTAGACCCCATCTAGCAGATCCCTATATACTGCATTTTCCTCAAATTCGACTTTCTATCCCTTAAACATTTCCCTCAAACTCTGCCCCTTCTTCCTGGACCTCCTGAATCTCATCCCCAAGTGAAGCCCTTTGGCGTGGGTCTGAAGTGTGAAGGGGCAGTGGTGGCGATCAAGAAGACACTAGCTAGTACTCCCTCCGTCCGAAAATACTTGTCATCAAACTGGATAAAAGGGGATGTATTTAAATGTATTTTAGTTCTAGATACATCTCTTTTTATTCATTTTGATGACAAGTATTTCCAGACGGAGGAAGTACTAGCACTTGAAGAAGGCTGTCACCATGGGGTGCCAAGAGAGGATGGCACGAGTCGTAAATAAGAGGGTGGGTTTTGGTCATTTCCCGAAGTCGCCAGCCCCTTTTGCTCTGTTTGTTTGGGTCCGTCTAGCCTTTCGCGGCTCCACGGTCAAGGAGAGACCTCCTCCATCTTTTTTGTCGGAAAAAAAGACCAACCATATCTTGTAGTACGATACCAACACAACAGGGCTACTGCTGATACGGCAGGCAGGCAAGCGGCAGCCCGCCCTTGCTATACCCAAATTCGGGCAGACCCCACTTTATTTCGTTTTGCTAATACGATCCACTTAACGCACCGCATACTAGTATTGTCACGGTTCTAGAATAATGTTTGTAAATAGTTGCACCAGAGAGCATCATGCGTCATGTGTAAAATTCATTAATCTTGAAATAAGGATGATCAAACCCCACTAGATAATTAATTCAACTAGGTTCAAATTAAAATCTTCTCAACGAACCTAAAATGCCCTCAAAATGTTTATGATTTATGGAACATGGTGAAATCCTCTACCAAAACTGGAGCACATTTTTCCGGGACACATTTGGGCTTTGATCTAAATCACTAAATATTTGAATTGGAGTTCTAAATTCCTATAAAAATATTTATAGCTCCAATATTTCTGGAATTTGCCGTGGGGCTTTGGAATAATCCATTTAGTACGCGCAATAATTTTTAGAAGCAATAAAATTGATTTGGTTTGAAAACCAAATTCAATTTTTTTTTGCAAAATAGAATAACAAAAAACAAAATTAGAAAAACACAGAGAGAGGGGGGGAGAGAGAACTCACCTGTGGCCCCGCTTGTCGGCCCAGCACACCAGGGGCAGGGTCGTCTTCCTCTTCTTGCCAGTCGGACGCAGAGCACGATGCCGACGCGTGGGCACGCGCCCGAGCCACCTCCCACTCGCCTGCCTGCGTGGATGCACGGGATAGACTCCCCAGAGCCCTCCAGATCGAGCTGACAGCCTCGCTCACTCTCTCCCCTCGCTTCTCCCTCGCTCTCCCCATCATGGCCGAAACCGCCATGGCCGCGCCGCCGTTGTTTCCGTAGCCACCGTGCTGCCCTCCCTTAGCCTGTGTCAAGAAGATCTGCCTCGTCGCCCTCTTCATCACCACCAAGCCATGCGAGCCCAGACGCCCTGCAACATCACCAGCTTCGTCGTCTTCTTTCTCCAGCACCGGAGATCGCCACTGTCGTTCCTGTAGACGGGAGACGTCCAAACATCACTATGAAGTAATTGAAACGGAAAAGTGGAAACTGAAGTAGACACACTAAACAGAAGACGAATGTGCTTGCCCAAGCGACAAGCCTCACAAGTATGCTCGTCGAGCTTATTACATGAGAAAGAAAAACTCCGAAAAATCTGACGCAAAACAGCGGGGTTGGGGTGGCCCAAGCGAGCATGCCAAAGGTCGACACCGGCGACGAGGGCGACGAGTGTGGAGGTGGAGGCGTCAGCGTGCACGGAATAAAGCTCATCAAGGCTATCACATCAGTGAAGCACCATCCGGGTACAGGCATCCTTCACAGAAAAACCAACACGGTCAAATTCAACAGGAAGTGGATTCTCATGAGTAGGACGACGAACGGAAACTAAACTAGTGACTAAGTCAGGTGAGACAAGGACATTAGACATAGTGATAGGTAAAGAAGAACCGTTGCCAACGGTGATACGAGTGGGTGTGTTAACTGGAGTGGAAGAGGATAGGTTACCGGGATGAGCTGTCATATGTGCAGTAGCACCCGAGTCCATGTACCAGTCGCCTCCACCACCATAGTTACTCGGCGACGGCGCCGAGTGTAGGGCGGCCAGGAGGGTAGGGTCCCACGGTGCAGGTCCCGGCTTCGGTGGCTGGCCTCCATAGGGCGGCGCCCGGGCGGGCGCGCCATAGCCACCGAGGGGTGGCGGCGTGAGCGAAGCACCATAGATCCTCAGCTCGGCTTTTCCTTCCGAACGCCGAACTGAGCATCAGGGGCTACTGTCTATGCGATAACATTTTTATATGTTTTTGAACACATACCTCAAAGCCTGTTAACAGACTTGTACAGGCTTCTGTCAGCCCGCTCTTGGCGGACTGAACCTTCCGAATCACCGCACTCATAACAATGCGGTGTTCCTCGTCGATGGAGGCGCCGTTAAGCACCTCCAGCAAATTGTCCGGCGCCTCCGGATGGACGGAGGTCGCCGGCGTCGTAGGCTTGCCCTTCTTATGAAGGCGCCGCCTGTCGGACTCCGGAACCGTTGATGGTTCCGGAGCAGTGTCCGGCCCGGAGCCGGACTTGGATCCCTCCGGGTCTTTACCCCCTTTGGGCCTGGAGTCTGGGAGGTCGCCTTGCGGCGCCTCCAGGACCACCTCCTCCTGGTTTAGTCCATTTCGGGACTCCACCTCGGTGTCGTCCGTAGGGAGAGGGGAGGAGGCCGTCGGAAGTGAAGCACTATTCACATCCGACTAATCCAAGGAGCCGCTCGTCGAATCGTCGAGCTGAGCCTTGGGCGGACTGCATGATCAAATTCGGCGTCAAAAAATCCCAAATAATGGAGGAGCGCCACAAGTCATTCGGATATCCGGATGCTTACGATTTTGCCAGGGGCTTGACCCTGGATGGCCATTCCTCCCCGCCGTCTTCGGCATCGGAGGTGTAGTCCGGAAGGAGGGTTTTCCCCTTCTTAGACCCTCCGGCCTTCCCAGTTGGGGCGGCCTTTCTTTTCTTTCCTCCCCCCGTTGGAGGGGGAGAGGCTTCTTCTTCTTCCTCCTCCTCATCTTCAGAGGCGGAGGGTGCTTCGGGGTTGTCGGGCGATGAACCCGACACCACCAGGCGCCGGGAGCTCTTTCGAGTCTCCGTGGCCTTCTTCTTGGCTTTCTTCTCCGGCACCACGTGAGGTGCCGGAACCAGCAGCCCCGTCAATCGGGCGTCCGCTGGGTCTTCTGGTAGGGGAGCCGGACAGATAACCTGCCCGGACTTCTTCAACCAGTCCTGTCAAAAGGTAGGGGAGTTTAGATCCCGCATAGAGTCAGACTATGAAAGACAAGAGTCCCGTAAAGGGTAGAATAGCTTACCTCGTTGGCCTGGCGCCACGAGCTGAATCCGCGATCTTCGGTAGCGGATGCGGGGGCCTCGGCGCCCTTGAATAGCACCTTCCAGGCATCTTCATATGTGGTGTCGAAGAGCCCGCTCAAGGTTTGGTGTTGTGTCGGATCAAACTCCCACAATTTGAAGGCCCGTTGTTGGCATGGGAGGACCCGGCGGATAAGCATAACCTGGACTACATTGACGAGCTTGAGATTCTTGTTCACCAGCTTCTTAACGCAGGTTTGGAGTCTGGTCAGCTCTTCCACGTTAGGCCCGTCTCTTTCCAGGAGGTGAGCCGTGTGGGAAAGCCAGATCGGAATTCGGGGGGCCGCTTCCCATTTGGGGTCGCGCGGCTCGGTGATGTAGAACCACCCCGATTGCGACCCTTTTATTGTCTCCACAAAGGAGCTCTCGAGCCATAGGACGTTGGCCATCCGGCCCACCATGGCACCTTCGCACTCTGCTTGGCGGCCGCCCACTACTTTCGGCTTGACATTGAAAGTCTTCAGCCATAAGCCGAAGTGGGGTTGGATGCAGAGGAAGGCCTCGCACACGACGATAAACGCCGAGATGTTGAGGATGAAGTTCGGGGCCATATCGTGGAAGTCCAGGCGGTAGTAGAACATGAGCCCCCGGACGAACGGGTGAAGAGGAAAACCCAGTCCGCGGAGGAAATGGGGAAGAAAAACAACCCTCTCATGGGGCCTGGGGGTAGGGATGAGTTGCTCCACATCTGGAAGCCGGTGCGCGATGTCGTCAGACAGGTATCCGGCCTTCCTCAGCTTTTTGATTTGCCCCTCCGTGACGGAGGAGGCCATCCATCTACCTCCCGCTCCGGACATGATTGGAGAAGGTTGAGGTGGAAAGTGCGGGCTTGGGCGTTGGAGCTCGAGCGCAGGGACGAATAAGCAAAGTAGGAAGAAGGCGTAAATGGAAAGGGTAGATTCTTATCCCCTTATATGGGCGGCTGAAACTACGAGCCCCCATCGGCCTAATAAAATCCGCTTATCTCCTAAGCGCCGCGGTTGATGGCGCGGTTGGGTTACCCACGCCC